CCCAGATTGTGATGACTTTAAGATGTCATGCTTGCTGTGGAAGATAGTTCCTCAAAGCTTCCAGAATTATCAAAATGACCTAGCACTTCTGCTTCTGGGTATATAGCCAAAAGTATTGAAAACAGAGCCACAAACAGGTACTTGTACACCCATGTTAATAGCAGCTTTATTCACCGTAGCAAAAAGGTGGAAACAACCCAAATGTCCATCAGTGGATAATGAATAAACAAAATATAATATATAAATACAGTGGAATATTATTCAGCCTTAAATAGGAATGGAATTTTGATACATACTGCAGCATGGATGAAACTTGACAACATTATGCTAAATGAAATAAGCTGGACAAAATAAGACAGATATTGTGTGATTCCATTTATATGCAGCACCAAGAGTAGTGGTATTCATAGATACAGAGAGGAGAATGGTGGTTGGTAACCACCCTTAGGAGGGAGACTGGGAGTTAGTGTTTCATGGGTATGGCATTTCCATTGGAGATGATGAAGAAGTTATGGAGATGGACAATGGTGGTGGATACATGATGTGAAAACACCTATTTAAAAATGATTAAAATGTTACATTTATTTTTTACTGCAATGAAAAATAGAAGTGAACGCCAAAAGAATAATGCTAGACTCTTCATTTCTCCTTTAGTACGGAAGGACATCCGTGTTGAGAATAGCTACAATGACATCTAGTGCTATGTTGAAACCTCAAAGGCGAAGCCTTCTGGCCAAGTGTCTGTGATTTCATATTGTTGGAGTAGCATTCTGTCCCCAGGTGCGGCAGGTTTCTTTAAGTTTGCTGTGGCTGAACCAAGACAGAGGCATACGCAACTTTTCTTTTTATGATTTCATGAAAGATTCTGAAGGGATGAAGAAAGCTGGTACCTTTCAGAGTGCAAAGTGATCTTGAGACGTAAAGGATTTCTTTGACTTGACTTCCGTGGAAGTTTGTCGTTGACCTGTGTCCCTGAGCTATGAAACATGAACATTTGAGCTAAGAAATGGTTTCTCTTGATAGATAATTAACTACTGTGGAAAGAATAAAAAAGCATTGCTAAGACCTTGAGTTTTAAAGAGTAGGCACTGAGGACTCAATGAAAGTTCTGGATGCAGATTTGCATGTTAATCCTGAGGCAAAAAAAGGATAGATTGGAGAATAGGGAGTGGGAAAAACACTAATCCTTTTTATTGCAGTAGCTTAGTTAAGAGGTGATTTGGGTCTGCAGGGCAATTGTAGAGGGGTAGCTGTGAGAGAAACTTGACAACTGATAAAATGTAGGAAGAAAGAGAAAAGGAAAATTAAAAGATGACTTAGATTTTGCAACTAAACAAAGGGAATAAATAGGTTGCTGGGAAAAATACTCGGTATGAGTTTGATGTCAGCTGTTCAGAAGGTAATTGAAAATATGAAAATGGGGAGATGCAGATCGGGAGAATCAGGCTTAGCGGTGAGTTTGGGAGTGATTCACGCGTCTGCTGTCTGCCCATACCGCTGTCCGTCTGCCTCCGCCTCTGTCCGTCCTTCCTTTTGAACAAATGTTTAATTCTGCATTTTGCCAGGCTAATCAAATGCAAACTCAAGGATCTAGCAAGTCATTCTCTTAGTGCTTACTCTGAAACCATGTGATTACCTAAGGAGAAAAGATAGTGGAAAGAGAGGGCAAAAAGGAATTTTAGCGACCATCTCCACATTTAGAGGATGAATGGGGAAAGGACCCTCAAGATGAGGTGTCAGAGAGATCGTCCCTCTAAGGGGAAGACGAAACTATCAATTCCAGTAAGTTGACTTCAGTTTGTGGTTTCTCCCAAAAACTCAGTCACTTTGGGGATACTAAGAAGGCCTAACAAAAGTGAAGGGTGAGGAAGATCTCTTCTAAAGAGTTCATGAAAACCACGTTCATCGAGTTAATATGCTTACTGTGAAATGTTCTGTAGGACTTCTTTTGGCATGGAAAAAAAAAAGCTGTCAGAATGCCTCTATAATCTCTGGGATGATGAGTGATGATTTCATTACCTGATCATGGAAATGAAAATGAAGGGCTGTGCAAATTGGCGCCGGGCATGTAATTACAGGGGACTTGCTTTGGGGCCCATCCCTGTGTTCTCACTGGCATCTACACTGTGCCCAAGTTAGCAGACTTGCCCTCAGGGGCGTGGAGTTTTGATGCTTTATGGGCTGCGAAGCGGTTGAATGGTGAGAATTGTTTAAAGCTGGGTATTACAGAAGTGTGAGTCCCTTCATTTAGATTTGTTAATTGTGCTTTGAGGAGATTTGGAAAGGGAGTAACATTTATTTTGCTTGGGAAAAAAAATGGTAATATAAATAATCTTTCCCAGCCTTCATTGATTCTGTTATGAAGCAGATCCTAGGCTCACAAGCTGTCAGGATGTTGTGTAAGTAGACAACTGTATTTGAGATGCTTAAATTTTACTCACATGTGAAAGGTGCAGCCAGATTCAGGGAATCTGTTTCTTTTTACTCTTTTCTTTGGTGAATTTCAGAATTGGGTGGGGGTTAAACCTGGGAAAGTCAGTAAATTGGGGAAGATAGCCAGTGAGAGATGAGAAATGTTAACTTGAAATGGAAAGAATATGGGAAATTAATAACAAAAAAATTTTTTTTCAGTAGAAAAAGACACCTTTTTGCCCCGAAATTGTAACTTGTTTCATAGTTCACGTTATTGTACTTTCAGGGAAGGAGTTAGGTCTGGGAGTGACAATGCCTCCCTGCAGCAAGTGAAAACTCAGAAAAACAGTTCACCCAAATGGGGGAAGGGTGACTATCTAGGGTCTTTTTATACTGTTTTCAGTAAATCTATTATATTTCTCTACTTTGGGGAAGTTAGACTATTCCACTACTTCCGCTTAGCTGCCAGTTGCTCATTATCATCAAGATTCTGACAGCCACTTTGCTAGGACTCATTTCAGTATTATGAATAAATCTGATAAATTATCCAAGAAGCAGTTTCATGAGTTTTGATTTATGTTTTCATTTTCCTTCATGTGATCCATCATTCTTCCAGTTTTGAAGATGCAGAGAATCAGTATATGAATTACAGGAGTGGTAGAGATGAGGTGGGAGTTTTCTTTCTCACAGCCTCAAGTATATTTCAACATCATACTTCTCTTCCTATTTTTCTATTCTTTTCATCAGTGCTGGAGGGACTGCAGATTTATACTGTGGGGGTAGCTCAGAGAATAATCAGGGTGGGGTGGGTATCATCAAGGGGAATGAATAGGTGTATTAAAAATAACAAAATTAACTTACTGCCCATATGTGAGGTGCGTAGCTAAAGTTGTTAGTCCCTTTAGTGTCGGCCTTAGTTTTGGAAACAAGGTCATGCTCTTCCAGAGCAGCCCTCTGCCAATGGCTGAGCAAAGCTCCCCAATACTAGAGTCCTCTAACTGGCCACCCTTGCTCCTGAACTCTGGTAGCTCCTGCCCAATGCTGCTTCTTCCTCTTCTCACAAGAGCTCTCTTCTGTAAGCCATTTGTTTTCCTAAAGCTGTTTTAACATCTGCTTCTGGAGACTCTAACCTGTTATAAACTTCTTACATAAGTTACCCAGTTTCCTGTATTTTAACTGTTTTTACTCAAGCTTTGCCTGAAACATCTGGGAACTGGTATAAATGAATTGCCAGCCTTTCTCTGTGTGTTTTAATAGATTGTGCTCTTCCTGAAAATACAGGGAATATAGATAAGCAGAAGAAATTCAAACTGTCTCCACTAGAAGTAACCAGTGATAATGACTGATTTTGGTGAACTTAAGAGAATTGTGTTAAGGGGGCCTCCCTGGTGGTGCAGGGGTTAAAGTCTCAGTGCTGTCAAGCTATCAAACAGTCGCCAGCCTCTGCGGCATGTGTTGGGTCTCTGGCCAGGCTGCTGACCCACATGGCTCAGCAGACCTCTCCTGTCTCACTCGCTGCTCCCCTCAGCAGGATATTTCGGTAGATCCACCTGTTCTGCTCCCCACTCTGTCTCTGGTGAATCCTCCCAGCCCCCCACGCCTCTGGCCTACACCCCAGTTCTTGTATGCATAAGTAAATTTCAAAAATTAAGTCTTAAAAAAAATAGAGAGGGCCTCCCATGGTGGCTAGCGGTTGAGCGCTGGGCTGCGAGGCTGCCCGCAGTCTCTGCAGCGCCGGTTTGTTACCCGGCCGCCAGCGAGGGTCCCACAAAAAAAAAAAAAAAGATAATTGCATTAAGTATTTAATATCCAGCTTGGTGAATTTTTCACAAGCTGAACACATCCGTATAACCAATATCAATAAAGAGACTTTACCAGTACCCCAGGAGCCTCCCAGAGGTTATCAAAGGTAACCACTGTTCTCGCAGCAACAGAAAGTTATTTTTGTCTAGTTTGGTATAAGTATGGTCATGTAAAACATCTTCCTTTGCTCAGTGTTATGTTTGAGAAATTTATCCATGTATGTAGCTGTGGTTCCTTGCTGTTTAGAATTCTGTTGTATGAATGTACCACAATTCATTCAATTTGTTGATGGGCATTTGAACTGCCTGGATCCATTATAATGTTTCTATTACAAATATTTCCCTACATTTGTTATTTTAGCAAGTTAAGCCTATTCTTGGAGCCATTATTATCCTAAGTGAATTGTGTTATGTAAAAGCTAGAAAAACTAAATCCACATCTCCAGATTGTTCTTATTACTTTTTACAGAATCCAGGGCTAGTTTTCCTGAACCTGAAGTTTTGAATCATTGTTTTCCAGCCCAATCCTTGAGTTAGAATAGTTGTTGGAAAGCAGGTGTCCCAGTTTTATGGTTATATCAGAATTGAGCCATCACTCTGGTTTGCAGTGGAGAGAAAATGTGCAACCAGAAAGCTGTAGGAATGTGTCAGGTTAAGGTAGCTCACAATTTTGTGTTACTGCTGAAGAGCCGATGTCATGCAAGGCCTAAAAGAGATCATGAATAGTTTGGGTGTACGTGCCCAAGTTATTTCAGAGTTACTGATGTTTGCTTCTTTCCCATATAGCTGACAAGTGGAATGTCATGGCCAGCTCCTCAGACAGTGAAGATGACAGTTTCATGGCAGTGGACCAAGAAGAGACTGTACTGGAAGGGACAATGGAGCAAGATGAGGAGCCTCACCCAGTATTGGAGGTTGAGGAAACGAGGCATAATAGGTCCATGTCTGAGCTGCCAGAAGAAGTACTGGAGTATATCCTCTCCTTTCTTTCACCCTACCAGGAACACAAAACTGCAGCCCTTGTTTGCAAACAGTGGTATCGACTTATCAAAGGTACTGTGGAAAGTGGGATGGTTTTGTTATTTATTTAAAGTTTGCTTGATTTATGTTTAAGCTCCCAATTTCATTTTCTCTTTTCCCTCTTAAATTTATTGTAGTTCTCAAATTTAGTGTTAAACCATCAACACTGGGGCATTTGCCTTCTCTTTATCCTGGGTAGGGTTATGAACAGCTTGAATTCATACTATAGTATTTGTTGTAATTTTCGGTTTTAAAATGAGGAGTCTCTTTCTGTATATATTTTTTTAAAAGATTTATTTATGCATACAAGAACTGGGGTACAGGCCAGAGGTGTGGGGAGTGAGAGGATTCACCAGAGATAGAGTGGGGAGCAGCAGAACAGGCGGATCTACTGAAATATACTGCTGAGGGGAGCAGCGGGCAAGACAGGAGAGTCTGCCGCTCCATATGGGTCAGCTCCCTGGCTGGGGATCGAACTCCTGCTGCAATGGCTGGCGATAACCCCTGTGGGGCTAGGGAGGCCCTTGTTCTGCTCTTTATGAAGCTCTTTTCCTGTCTTTAGAGCAGCGCATGGGGGCACATGTGGGGTTGGCAGGGCATGCACTGCCTGGTTTTGCCTCTGAGCATGGGCCAGGCACATGTCTTTCACGTTTTAAAGTCAATTTCTCCTTTTCCCCCCTTCTCCATTTTCTAATCAAGATTTCAACTTTAGCTAAATGTTGAGGTTACTAGTTGGACTATATTTTTAATTAAGAGAACAGTTTAATGGCTTCATTCCACTGAGGAATGAAGGACCCATTTTTAAAAATTTTTTTTTTTTATTTATGCATATAAGAACTGGGGTGTAGGCCAGAGGTATGGGGGATGAGAGGATTCACCAGAGACAGGGCAGAACAGGCAGATCTACTGAGGTACACTGCTGAGGGGGCAGCAGGCGAGACAGGAGAGAGAAGGACCCATTTTTTGACTGAAGGTGACTAGGCCAGTGGAATAATCTTTGATAAAAGCAAGGGTTGTACCAACCTGTTCTTTCCTGGCAATGAAACAGTCAGAGATATGAGAGAGAAAAACCTTTAGATCAGAATATTTTAAACCTTTTCCTTACACCAGGATTGTTCTCATGGGAGTAGGGTGGCAATGGCCCAGAGTCCCACCTGGAGGGCTGAGGACCAGCAGTGTTGGAAATGCTTGCTGGCCCCGTGCCTATCATAACTGCAGTACTGGTAATGCACAGCCTGTGCTCCCCTTTGCTGAGGGACTGGATCTTCAGGGAAGATTGACTCCCTAAAGTATGGAAATTAATTATTTCACTTCTAAAATAGAGGTAGAGGAACCACAGATGAGAGACTGATCTAATCAAATATGTGACTTTATTCATAGGTTTTATTTGGCATTCTTGTCGTTTTTTTCTTTTTCTTTTTTCTGAGAGAGAGAGAGAGGGAGGATACTTAATCCAAACTCATAGTGTTGGATCTTCTAGGGGACATCACTGCCAAGTCATCTTTTTTCCTTTCAATCATTATGTATCTATCTCTTGTTCATTATTGCCTTCCTTCAATTCAACATTGCAGATATGTAATACTTACTTTACCAGTGAATAATTAGCAGTACTGTCATACACTAATCATGGCCAGGTCTTTTTCTTAACATTTCAATTCTTTTTTTTTTTAAGATGTATTTTATTTATGTATACAAGAACTGGGGTATAGGCCAGAGGTGTGGGGGGTAAGAGGATGCACCAGAAACAGAGTGGGGAGCAGAACAGGTAGATTGAGAGAAATATACTGCTGAGGGGATCAGCCGGTTAGTCAGGAGAGGTCTGCTGCACCATGTGGGTTATTTCCCTAGCTTGGGATCGAACTCATGCTTCAGTGACTGTCGATAGCTTCATACTGCTGAAACTTAAACCTATGCGCCACCAGGCCCAACATTTCAATTCTTTTTTTTTTTTTTAAAGATTTATTTATTTATTTATACAAGCACTGGGTACAGTCAGAAGTGCGGGAGGGTGAGAGAATTCACCAGAGCCAGAGCGGGGAGCAGAGCAGGCAGAAGGACTGAAGTACACTGCTGAGGGGAGCAGCGGGCGGCAGGAGAGGTCTGCGCGTCATGTGGGACCCTCCTCCGGTGGCTGGGGAGCAGCCGGGGATCGAACCAGCGCTGCCAAGGCTGCGGGCAGCTTCGCAACCCAGCGCTCAACCGCTGCGCCACCGGGGAGGCCCAACATTTCAGTTCTTAACTGTGAGTTCAACCAAGGGATAGTGATCATTGTGGGAAAACAAATGTACCATGATCCTGCTTAAGGATTCACTAAAGTAGCATCAATTCAAGAACGTACATTCTTTCAAAAGGTAACGTAAGTGGCTGTACTCAAAATTTTGCTCTTTTGAGGGCCACATTCTATGGGCTTGTACAAATGTTTAATGACATTTTCCACCATTATAATAAAATCTTTCACTTTGAAACAACAGTTCCTAATTATGAATTATTTCATAGCCCAGTGTAAGCTAATTATTACCACTTTGTTAAACATGGAGAATGCTCTGTTGCCATGGTTTAGCTAGATCTTTATTGAACACCTGTTATATTCTAGACACCATACTCTTTCTTGCAGTACTAAATGATCTCCAGTCCCTTTGTTTTGGAGTAAATAATATTAATTATCTTAATGTATTGCCACATGATATGAAGGGGAGCAGAGATAGAGTGTGAGTTAATTTTGTAACCTTGAGTGAGCTACTTAACCTTCCTGAACCTTGGTAAAATGAAAGGATTTGAAATGATACTTTTTCTTTCTTTAAATGAAAAATCAGCAGCCTCACTGGTGGCACAGGGGTTAAAGTCAGTGCTATCAAGCTACTGGCAGCCACTGCTGCATGAGTTTGATCCTCGACCAGGGAGCTGACCCACATTGTGCAGCAGACCTCTCCTGTCTTGCCCGCTGCTCCCCTCAGCAGTGTGTCTCAGTAGATCCGCCTGTTCTGCTCTTCGCTCTGTCTCTGGTGAATCCTCTTACCCCCTGCACCTCTGGCCTACACCCCAGTTCTTGTGTTCATAAATAAAAATAAATCTTTTTTAAAAATGAAAAATCAAAGAAATTTGACCTTCCTCAAGGAAACGTATGTCTTATAAAAGTGATGACAGTTTTAGTAATTTAAGTCACAAGTGAAGTGTCCTGGTTGAGGCATTTGTTATTTTTGTCTTAGGTGTAGCCCACCAGTGTTATCATGGTTTCATCAAAGCCGTCCAAGAAGGAAACATTCAGTGGGAGAGTCGGACATACCCTTATCCTGGAACCCCCATCACTCAGCGCTTCTCACACAGTAAGTGTTACTGTGAAAGCAGATCCCACCCTGCCTTTGGTCAGATTTCCAAAAGCTACTCTGGAGGCATGTATTTTGTCTGATTCATTAATGAAGAGAATGTAAGGTGAGGGTTTATAATAATATTACACTCAAAATTATAGAAGAGCATGAGCCTAAATATGTTGTAGGCATTTTGGTGTAATTTTATATTCTGCTTTTTCATCATTTTTTCCCCCTATTATCTCTGCTCTGAAGAGCTCAGAGCGTTGTCCTTAGACGTCTGATATTATGAGCGAGGAATCGAAGACCAGGGTTACCGCAGGTGTTCCTGAGCCCCTGCTGAGGGGGTAGCAAGGATTCAGCACTAAGCCTGAGGATGACTATTTTAACATGGCCTGTATTCAGGAAACACTGAGTTTGACTGGGGCCATACAAAAATTCTGAACATGAAGGGTATTGATTTTAAAATACAAATATAAGTAGTAATATTATAAATAAAATGTTCTGGAAAGTAGACATAATTTAGAGTTTTTGAATTATTCTGGAATTAACTCTTTTTAATTGATTTTTGTAGACACCATTTTATTCTATTAGTGATTGATATACTACCTTCATCAAAGTGAGTCTGAGAGGCAATCAATCTTAGGCCAATAAAGGTGTATTTATTAGTGGTTTTACATAACGAAAGTTCATTAAGGTAGGGGGAAGTTGTTATAATTGCTGATTTAATTATTGTATTACTGCTCTGTTTAAAAGCCTTCACATGGCTCCCCGGTGGCGCAGCGGTTGAGCGCTGGGTTGCGAAGCTGCCCGCAGCCTCCGCAGCGCTGGTTCGATCCCCGGCTGCTCCCCGGCCACTGGAGGAGGGTCCTGCATGGCGCGCAGACCTCTCCTGCCGCCCGCTGCTCCCCTCAGCAGTGTACTTCGGTCCTTCTGCCTGCTTTGCTCCCTGCTCTGGCTCTGGTGAATTCTCTCACCCTCCCGCACTTCTGACTATATCCAGTGCTTGTATAAATAAATAAATAAATAAATCTTAACCCTTTGCACTCCGAACCATTCTGGACATTGGCTGCCAGGTACTCGACGCTACTTTGCAGTGGAAACGTGCATTTACAGACCCTCGTATTATAATTTTGGAACCTAGTATAATTTTGGAACCAAGTAACGTATTATAATGATATTGGACTTATATGAATTGGGTGACATTGAGGAATGCATATTTGCAAAAAAAAATATTTTATTGTTTATAATTTTGTACAGTATGATAAGTTTTGGAACACTCCCTAATATGCATTGCAGGCTGATTAGTGCATGTTTGACATGTCTGTATAGAGGTCTATCTGGAGCTCATCTTCACTACTACTTGTGTCATGAGACTCATTCGTGCTTTGCCATTGTTCTAATAAAAAATATGAATGAATGCATGGGTTGAAAATTTCTAATTGTTATTACTAACTGACAAGATGATATTTACCAAAATAGCTTTCACCAAACAATTTATTCACTAAGAAAAGAATCACTTTTCCGATTTTCTCCTTGTTAGATCTGTGTGCACTGCTCGAAGCTTCAAACCAAAATGAGCTCAGCTTTGAAAATCTTTTCCTCCAGATGTAGACTTGTTTATTTGTAATTATATATCTCACTACACAGTGTGCGCTATGTTCGAAAACCGACCTTCCTTCTACAAACTCCCCTTATTGCTCTTTTCAAGGGGCGTCGCGAAGTGCTCGGACTGTCGCGAGCACGCATCTCACGTTCTCATCCGACACAAAACCCGCTGACATTTCTTGTATATATCTTAGTAATTTCACGATATTTTGATATAATTTCTTGTGCCATTTCAAGATAAAACTTCGGGGAAACATGCATGTCTCAAAAAGTTGCGTTGAAATAACTCAATTTCCCGTAATCACTAATAAATTGCAATGTCCCCTGAGAGGGGACATCCGAGTGATATGCTAGAATTCCGATGTCCCCTGAGAGGGGACAGCGGAGTGCAAAGGGTTAAAAAAAAAAAAACCAAAAAAAAAAAAAAAACCCCTTCACAGCCTGTCTACTGCCTGCAGGATAAAATCTAACCTTAGTCTTACATTTGGAATTTGATCTTTGTCTGAATTTGCCATTTCATTTCCCAACTTTCTCAACATCTTTCTTCTTTAGCAAGGTGCCACTTACCTGTACTGCTCTCTTCCCCCTCAGAGTAGCCCAAACACTTAGCAGGGGGCTGCCTCTCCTTGAAGACATAGGTGGAGTTCTAGCTCCTTCATTAAACTTTTTCTCAACTCTGGCCCACTGAAAAAAATTTTCCCTTTCAAGCTTACATAGGTATTGTTTGGAATATTAATTTGGCACTTCACTCACATTGTCTTTCATTGTTAGCTTATAGGCTTTCTCTCTGTGTGTGTGTGTGTGTGTGTGTGTGTGTGTGTGTGTGTGTGTGTGTATACTCTATTTTGAACTCTTGAGTGGAAGGAGAGTGTATTGGTTATCCATGCTGCATAAAAATTACCAAACTTACTTTGAACATTCGTTATCTCGCATAGTTCCTTGTGGTCAGGAATAGAAGTGGCTTAGCTCGGAGGTTCTGACTTGGGGTCTCTCATGAGACTGCGGTCAACCTATCAGCCACTTTGTAGATACCTGAAAGCTTGGCTGGCCTGGGGCGTCTACTGCTGAGCTCACACCAGTTTTGTCAACGGGAGGCTTCATCTTCTTACTACAGGGACCTCTCTGTAGAGCTGCTCCCTTCTTGGCAGCTGGCTTTCCATAGAATGACAAATCTGACACAGAGACAGATACCAAGACCAAGGTGTCTTTTACAACCTGATCTCTGGAGTGAATGCCATCTTTTCTGGTCTATTTTATTGGTCACATGGGGAAGCGAGGCTCACTGGGGACCATCTTGGAGGCTGGCAACTCCACACCATATGAATACTCTATACTTTCATATCCAGAGGAGAGTTTGATAAATCTTTATGACTCATCATTGCCTATGAAATAGATCTGATGAACAGGTCATACTTTTGCAGTGTTTCCCATTTTCTTCCAGGAGCAATTTTTTACTTGTGCTGTTGTAAACCCCATTGGGCAGTGGATCTCACCATGTGATTCATTTGAGGAAGAAGGCATCTGTGAAACCCTTTCAGGGGATCTGTGAAATCATGGGTAGTTTTGTTTGTTTTTTTTTAAACTGAGTATGTGATAGTAAAGAATGCCGTGGTGACAAGATAGATGAGCCCCTGCTGTGATTCATGCACAGTGGTTTCACCAGCATTCTTTTGCATTATTAATCCCTTCTTCTGCTGCTGCTATTAGTAATTATAGTAGTGGCAGTAGTGTTATTATAATTATAAAAACAGTTTTGATAGAGTCTTGCATGTTTTCAGGTACCCACACACCACACTTTGACAATCCCTGGAATAGGTGTTTAAATGAATCCTTGCTGAGACTATTGAATGCAATTATGTTTTGGATCCAGTATTTATTGCTGAGGAAGGTGACTTCAGTTACTGACAGAAAATTGGTATAAGTAGTACAGTAAGTCCTGAATGTCATCCATAGGTTTTTGAAACTGTGACTGTAAGTGAAATGATATATAATGAAAGCAGGTCTTCAAGAAATGTCATTTCCTTCAGTGTCAGCAAGTACTGTTTTTTTTCTCTTGGACATTATGTCAAGGCATTATTGAATGAAACTATGTTACTCAAAGACCTGCTGTAGAGATCAGGTTTCTAAAAACTGAAGATTTTTTTGACATTTTTGAAGCAAGCAGTTTTAGAACCCTAAGTGGGGGAAATTAAATGAATCTGGGTAAATAGAAGCCAGAATAGGAAATATTCAGGGGTGAATAATTATAGTAACAGTTCAACTCTCTGATAAAGGAGGGAAAACAATTTTTTTAGTTAACTGGCTTTTGGAAAAAAAAAATCACCACAGAATAGAGGCAGTTGCTTGAAGGGGAAACTAAGAGGCCATGGGCAGTGTAAGCTCACAGAAGCTCAGGGGGTGGTGGGCCTGATACCTCTTTTTACTTAATTTTTTTTTCATATGCTCACTTGAAATCCATGAAAGCATGCATTGCATGGTCTTTCTCTCTGTCACCCCTTGATCTCGCTCCTGATTCCTTCCATCTGTTTCTGTATGTCATGTAACTGGCCACCTGGAGAGGACTGATGATAAGGGAACAGGGCTTTCAAAATTCCTTACATTTCTTTCTCTTCCTGCTCAGCGCGCTTCCCTTAAGCTCAGTTGTTTTTTTTCCTCATTCATGTGCTCGAGGTCCATATTTCTAATTCTTTGCTCCTATCGCTATCTAGATGTACAGATATTTCATATTGAGTCAGCTACAAGTGGACCTCAGAAGTTCCCCACCCCCAATTTTCTCCTCTCCCTAGTTTAGTTAATGGCATCATCATTCTCTCAGTTACACAAGCCTGAAATCTTGGGTTTATCCTTAATTCCTCTCCATTGCTTCACAACAAAAGCCAAGTCCTACTGATTCTGTTTTGTCTCTGTAGTTTTTCTCATATCCTTCTTTTCCCATTACTCAAATTTATAATCTAGTTGGTTCATCTTTCTTGAATCTTTTCTGAATGGTCTTCTGGCCTTTCCCCTTTCTTTGTCTAAACCAGACACCATTGGCAGCCATCTCTAGAACTGGTGACAGTGCACCTCTTAGGGCGTCTGGAAACATGCAAGGTCACTGCACTTTGTCTTGACTGGTGAGGACTACATGCACGGGCCGGGATGCTAGTTGTGCCCATAGCAACAGGAGCCCCTGTTGGCAGACACTGCAAGTCTGAAACATAAAACCAACTTTGTCATTTTTCTGCCAAAAAAATTTCAGCCTTTCTGCACTGCATGTACAAGTTTTCACTCCTGTGGGCTTTCAAGGCCCTGCTTTCAGCCTGACTCACCAAGTACCTTTCCATAGACAGACTCCACCCACACGACACTCCTTGTTATGTCTTAGTCTTTCCTACTTCGTGGCTTTGCTTGGATGCCTTGATTTCATTTTC